TTATAGAGAAAGTACAAGGAAGCTATGTTAGTTTAAAGAGAAATAATAATGTCTTGCCTCAGAAATTCAGACAAAAATGATGCAGGCAAACAGAATATATAACCAGAATCAGATGATTACATAAGTGACTGTGTGATTCTACTTAAAATCTATCACCTATAAAATCCCATTCTCCCATTTTAATTAAGCCTACATCTGTTATTTAATATGAAGATCAAATTGATTGTAAAGAAAGATAACTCTGTATATAAGTCAAAATATCTGCACAGTTAATTCTATACTTTAAAAACAATATAATGATAAAAAAATTAATAATTCTATTACAGTTGATTATGAGTTGGCAAATTTCTTCATGAATATTTCATCAACTGTTACCTAATATGAGATAACTAAATTATGTAACTCTTCACAGATTAGAATTTGGAGTGAGAAAAGCAATTCTTGTACATTAGGAATGTTGTATGACTAAATGTAATTGCAAGCACATACTTTTTTTAAAAAGGTGAACAGCTAAGATTAATGACTGAAAATTAATGAAAATGAACGACTGCATTCAATCTTTGGCAAAAATATATTGAAGAGAAGTGAATAAAACAGGATGAAAATGTGAAAATATTATATCCAACAGCAAATGCAATTTTGAAGGAAATAGATTAGAGGTAAAAATTAATGAGTGAAAATTCATTTCTTCTTCTTTGTTGAAGAGCAGAAATGAGTAAAAATATGAAAAAAGAATAAAAAATATACAAAACTAAATGAATGAAAATGTGAAAGAGAAAATCAAACAGTACTCTGAAAAAAAATGGAAAGAAATTTTAAACGTTACAATTAAAAGCATTTCCGTGAAATCAGTCAGCCTTTTTTAAAGCTTAAAAGCTAAGATTAATGGTAAAAAAAATGAATGAAAGTGAATGACTTATTGGCAAAAAAAAAAAAAAAAATGGTATAACTGAATGATAATGGTGAAGTCAGCCTTTTCCCTATAAAGAAACATTTAGCATTCACTGACCGAAAAGTTAGTGTTGTTCTCAGTTGAAATTTATAAGATCTTTTTCTTAAAATATTCTTTTGGGGCATGGTTTCTCAACCAAGGGGCCCACAGACAATGTAGACATGTGCCCAAACATGGGATCTATAGATTCAGATAGTGACATGTTCTTAATAGTTCAGACCCACAATGTTGAAGTAAATTTTTAAAAAAAATGTTTGGTAATTTCGAGCAATAGAAATTGCAAAGATGGAAAGGAAGTAAACATGGAGAGAGAGAAAGAGAGTTGGGGACAGGCAAGATGTCGTATCTATTCCAGCTGTTTATGTTTATTAAGTAAAAGCAAAATTTTTTAAATGAAACTTCAAAATGAGAGAAGGATATTGCATTTAAATTTTTCAAGACTGACATTGACTAGAAAGCAAGAAGCTTTAAGAAAGTGTTACATGTGAGAAGTGCTAGAGAAGAAGCTGTTAGCAGTTACAGCTATGGTTATAAAGGATGTTTCATTAAGACAGATTATATATAGGGGTGTTTCATTAAGATGGATCAGAATCAGCACTAAATAAATCAGTGTTATTGGTGAAAATTTATTTATTGGATCATGTTATTTAAGTCATGACAACTATGTGTGAAAAATAATATTGTCCAAATGTCTGCTAAATCTGAAAGAAAAAGAAAACAAATCATTAGATGCTTAAACTTAATTCACATTAAAATTGGTTCAAGTTATTTGCACACCCTTTATGTATCCATTTAAAATGTAAAGTGATGAGACCTTTCTGCTAATCTAGCAGTATGCTTAATGATGTAATGGAATAACCTGTCACCCCCATGAGTGACTACACTATAGGTAATAACTACTTATAAGTATCTGTAAGTCAACGGACTACAGAGACTAGCTGCAACCTGTTCCAGCTAGACAGTCGAACCCTCTGCCTTCGGGCAGAGAGGAACCTGGACGAGGCTCCACCAAAGGGCAGAGTCTCATTCGGGGAGGTAGACTGCCCCTGAACCCGTTTATACAGGTTCAAAAGGGAATATTTTTGGCCGAGCCTATGGGCTCAGAGAACCCACATTAACCGGCCTTGTGCCACATGCAACCCTCATGGGGTGGGGTAGCTAAATATACTAGCTGGGATCTGTTGACTATAACTAAGATTTACACGAGAACTACTGACCTTCCAATAGTAGCACTCACTACTGGATTGACTTGTGATGACCTTGTGCATAACTGTTACATTTATTCTTATTGTACTGGTTTTTTACAATAAACCTTTACTTATTTTATCCACCTTGTTTTTCAATAAATATTCCTATTAGCACGGAATATAACACTTAAGTTCATAAGTTTAGGTAGTAAAGAAGAAAGCTCAACACAACAATTACCATGAAAATATTTATAGAAAAGGAAGAGACACATTACATTTGGCTAAAAAGTATTAATAACATTTGGTCTCAGAAATTTAGACAAAAATTATGCAGGCAAACAAAATATATAACCAGAAGTAGATGATTATATGATAAGTGTCCATGAAAATATTTATAGAAAAAGCCAGTGGGAGTTATGCTACAGCAAAAGCAAGGTTAGAACCAGTTATCTTTTCTGTTCCAATAATAATGACATCATATGTAAATTATATTTTATGATTACATTATTGTTTATATACTTTCTTTTTATGTTTTAATAAATCTGTTTACTATATTTTAGCCTAGAGAGTGTTTAACCTTTGAGGAAAGTGTATATGATCTCATGGTTTTTCCAGAAACTGACACTAGAACAATGCTTTTCAACAAAGGTCTATAATTTTTGATAAAGCTTTATCCTGACAATAGCAGGAAAGGAAGAAAGAAAAATACATTTGCATCAAAGTAGACTTTTATGCAACGATATTTGACTTGTTAGAAAAGCAGAAGCATTCTTGCAAAGCAAAACTTGCACTAAAAAACAGGAACTATAGCTTAAAACTATTCGAAAGATGTCTTTTTGTTTTTTTCTCAACAAAATGATAAAAAAAAGACTTCCGGAGTATATTCTCTTTGAAAACAATACACACACTTGTGTGTATATATGATTTTTGAAAATGAAAGTGAAACAAATATTTTTACTCAATGACCTTAGGCGAAAATGTTCATTTTAAAAATCTCACTGTTGTTATCCTGATGCATTAAAATCTCTTCTTTATTATATAAATCAAAATTTGCCTGCCTCTATCACATTACCAAGTAAGGCAATATTAGCTTCATCCATTTTATTTTGGTAAATCCAAGAGAAGTGTTCTACTACCTTCAGTATAGCCTGGGGTATAGATTTGTCACTTGAAGCTTGTTTGGAGTGAAATCTAACTCTTTTTCAGTGCATTTAGAGCCTACATTATCTAGAAAATGTTGCTAATGATGTTAGACTCTATTTCAATGTCTCTAAAACTAAATTCATAGGCTTCAACTAGCAATGCTCGATACAAATTGTCTCAAGTGAATCAATAAAATCTTTTGAATAAATTGAAAGTGAAATAAATTCTCCTGAAAAAGATGTGAAAATTTGCATAGCTAAAGCCTGGACAGCCTTGAATAAAATGAATTTTAATCTGGAAATCTGATCTATAAGACAACCGCAAATGGATATTCTTTGGAGCCAGTGTAAAGGTAGTGTTAATGTATGGTGCCACTGCTTGGACATTAGCTAAACCCCTAGAGTCTAAGGTTGACTGAATCTACACTTGGATGCTCAGAGCAATACTTGAAGATAATATTCAATTAAATAACAGCTCTATAGACCTATTGATGATATTTCTACAATCTTACATTAATGCAGAATGCCCTTTGAATGACACTGCTGGCGAGCAAAATAAAAAATGTGTTAGTGATCTATTGCTCTGTAAACCTAGCCATGGAGCAAGACAGGTTGGTCAGCCAGCAATCACCTACATTGACCAGCTATGCTATGACACAGAATGCCGTATTAATGATTCTGCAATCTTGATGCAGGATTGTGATGTTTGGTGTGATAGACTCATGAATGTCTGAGATAGCTCGACTGAATAATGAAATAAAGATCTTATAAATCAATGTCTACCTCTTTTACTTGTTTATGAATTAACAAATATGCATAAGAAGAAAATTATTGCATGCAACAAGTTAAATATTTGGGAAATAGTTTAACAGAGGAAAGAAAATGTGACAGTAAAATTCCAAGGCATATTAGGATAGTGAAAAATGTCTTCCAAAAGCTAAGCAAAGTATTAAGAAATAGAAAAATTTTGTTAAGAGTACTAAAAAGAGTACTGAACTGTTATGTAATATCACTTTTTATATATAGCAGTGAATGTTGGACAATCTCCTCAAAGACGAATAAGAGACTTGAAGCACCAGAAATGTGGTTCTACAGAAGGATTATGAGATTGACATGGACCAATCATGTGAGCAATGGTGAAGTTTTAGAGAAAATGGAAACAAAAAGGACATTTATACTTCACACCAGAATAAGATAAGACCTACAGCCATATCACATTGAAACATCGATTCCTGTATGATCACTGAAGTTAAGCAATGCCAAGCTTGGTCAGTACCTAGATGGGTGACAGCTTGGGAATAACTTTTACTTGTTTATGAATTAACAAATATGCATAAGAAGAAAATTATTGCATGCAACAAGTTAAATATTTGGGAAATAGTTTAACAGAGGAAAGAAAATGTGACAGTAAAATTCCAAGGCATATTAGGATAGTGAAAAATGTCTTCCAAAAGCTAAGCAAAGTATTAAGAAATAGAAAAATTTTGTTAAGAGTACTAAAAAGAGTACTGAACTGTTATGTAATATCACTTTTTATATATAGCAGTGAATGTTGGACAATCTCCTCAAAGACGAATAAGAGACTTGAAGCACCAGAAATGTGGTTCTACAGAAGGATTATGAGATTGACATGGACCAATCATGTGAGCAATGGTGAAGTTTTAGAGAAAATGGAAACAAAAAGGACATTTATACTTCACACCAGAATAAGATAAGACCTACAGCCATATCACATTGAAACATCGATTCCTGTATGATCACTGAAGTTAAGCAATGCCAAGCTTGGTCAGTACCTAGATGGGTGACAGCTTGGGAATAACAGGTGCTATAAGCTTGGATGTGCAGGTGGTGTAATGGATAATGGCTCAGAATTGTTAATCAGAGGGCCAAGTCCCAATTTCAGTTGAGTTTATTATATATTATGCACAAATACTCTTGGGAAAAATATAAATCCACCTTTTCTTCCTCCAGCTATGGATTTATTAGTAAGACTTGTATCACTAAAGCATTATTATCACAAAAAAAATTATTACAATCTAAAAATATTTTTTGGCTTTAAAGAACCTCTAAGGTGGAGATAAGCTGTAGAAAGCGAATCAGTGAATCAACCAATAAGAAAGAGATAGTTGAAATGTCTAGGAAACATAATGAGGAAAGTGGGCTGGAAAAATTTGATGCTCACAGGGCAGATTGAAGGTAAGATGGCAAGAGGAAAAAAATACATAACTTAGAGAGCTTGAGTAAATGGATAGCAGAACATGGTTTAGGAGAGATAAGAAAAAGACAAGAATCTATTAAGAACTACAAAGGGCAGGTAATTGTCGAGAGCCATGATTGCCCATGTCCTGAATGGCTACGGAACGTAGAAGAAGTAATTGTGAACAGGCAGGTTTTAAAAATGTTTCCTTAACAGTAGACCATCTGATTGAGTAAAAAAGAATATAAGAAACTACTTGTTAGACTCAAATCGAACATTTGGTAGTCGTTCTCAATTTAGTTTTTTGAGTGTGACGATAAATATTCGCACTTACCGGACTCGAAGCATCCGAGATGTTTTGCTTGTTGGGCTGCTGTTTTATGATGGATATGTGCATAAACCCAAGCTAGACAGTTTGTCATTTCATCAGCTGCATCCTTTCCTCTTGCAAGTTTGGTCCAAGAAAAGTACATTCTCGATATTTGTTGATTTTATGTTGCTTGCCATGATTTGTCTAGTGGCGGTCTGCATGCTGATTGGTTGAGCTGGGGACTCCAATTGAGAACGAGGCCAACAGCGATGATTGGTGCGTTGGCCGTGTTTTCTGGTCAATAAAAACGGTCTGGAACATTGGCTGGAGTGCAATTGGGACCGTGGTGATGTGCACTGCTATAGACGTTTGTATTAAGTCATGACTGTTTATTTTTGTCTGAGAGCTGGACGCTAGCTGCAAACCTACCACTAGAGTGAGCAGTGTAATTACTGGTGTCTACCGAAATGTGGGAAGAACACACTGAACTACAATATTGAGGTCTAGACCTATGTCTCTTTCAGTGCACTTAGGTTGTTACTATTATGCTCATAAATATCAAATAGAGTGAGATTCTAATTTATAGGAGCTAAATGCACTGAGAAAAGAGCTAAATTAACAATTTTGTTTGGCATTTATTGTTATATTGTACATCAGATATTACATAGAAGCTCAGCCCTTTTTAAAATTTAAAATAATATTTTCCAATGTCTCAATATAACAAAGTATTGAGACATTAGAAAATATTATTAGAAAGATGCCTTCCAGAAACTAAACAGTTTCTGGAAGGCAACTTTCTCTATTATGATGTGCCTTAAACTATAACACTTATTTTAACTCGTAGTCTTACTCTTTGTTCTTTTTGAGCTTAGCACGCGTGAATGACTTTTATACTTAGAAGCAGAAAGAGACAGTTGAAATTTCTAGGGCAGGGGTTTTCAAACTTTTTGATTTGCGGACCCCTTTATATTTCAAGCTTTACCTTAGGGACCACCTTATAAATGCTTATGAAATTTATACATAAATATTTGCTGAATATAACATATAATTTTGCATTAATGCAATAAAAGCTGGTTTAAAGCTTACTTTAGACATAAGTGTTCAAATAAATTAATGCTGCATGTTGCTGCAAAATGTAACAAAATTAAATTTTGTTATATTAAAATATTAATTTTACATGTAAATGACAACAGTAATAGTATTTAACAAATAGTTTTATTGTCAATTACACACACAGGATTTTTTAATACACACTTAGTGAGAAGGATGTGCTTGCTTGGCTTTGCACAAACTGTCAATTCTTGGCGATATTACAGATAAACATACACGTAAGTCACTTTCTGGAGCAAGTCTGGATCTCTATTTGTTTTTCAGATTGGTTAGTGCTAAAAATCCTGCTTCGCATAAATATCTTGTTGCAAACGGTAACAAAATCTTAACTGCCTTTCGAGATAGCAATGGATACTCGGAGGCTACATTGAGCCAGAATTTCGAAAGTTGTTGCTGCATAAAACTGATTTTTAAAGTTCTGTCGCATGAAATGTCCACCAGTTCTTCCAGTTCATTTCCTGTGAACATGCTATTAGCTATTTCAACATTAAACGGATTTCTGATCTAGTCAAAATTTTCAATATTATCAGGAACATCTTTTGCGAAATATTTGTCAAAATGTTCAGCAAGTGATATTAAATGTCCTTTAACATCTACAATTATCAAATCAACATTAACTGAACCATTGTTGCTGAGATATTCGTCCAGTGTAGGGAACGTATCTAAGATCTCAGAATCTAGGGAACATAATGAAGAAAGAACTCATAGAACATGTAGCGAACTTCACATTAATTTAACTTTAGATTAGGAAACAAGGCTCATGCAGAAAAGGATAACCAAAAGACATTGTTACACATAAAATATGTATTTAACAAGATGTACAATATCAAACAACGATGTGAAAGAAAGCATGCATTTAAGTAAGAAAAGGTTGAATTAACCAGAGTTGTCTCTCTTTAACTGTTATTTTAGTGTTCCAAAGTTCACTGGAAGAATATTCACAAGAGTCTCTTGTAATGATTGTTCTTGAAAGATATTGCTGTGTAAGAAGAGTTTATGTGAATGTGTGCAAGGTATGTTCAGCATGTGAGTGTGTGAGTGAGAAAGTTGCGCAAGGTTTCAACTGTCATGGATTCTTTTGGCAGTTGAAATCTCACTAACTGGGATAAAAAATATCTTGGCTTAAAAAAGTGACTATAGGCTCCACATCATTGCACGGGAAGAATTATTCTTCACGTGCAAACGATCTGATTGGTTGGCATCGACCAATCAGCAAGCGAGCTTTGGAGAGACTTAAGAAAGCTTCTGTGAACCGTTTCTCCCAAAAGTGCACAAAATTGAATACTGAAAAATAGAATGATTACAAAATTGTCATATTACTGTGATTTGTCAATTACCTGTAGTAATGTAGTGGTGATTTATTAACCAATGAATGCTTGGCATTGTAAATGTAATGTGTATGTTTGTATCTATGTATGTTTGTGTGTAATAGATCTGCACAAACATACTAAAGGCAAGCAAGACAAAGAAGAGAAGTGAATAACCTACCTAATGAGCTTGGTAGAACAGGGATTAGGAATTATAGCAAAAAGGTAAATTTTACTAAGAGCTACAAAAGACTGGATATTGTGGAGAGCCATGATTGGTCACATCCTAAAGGGACATGGCATACAGAAAAAGAAGAATTGGGACTCAAGTTTACTCCAGACCTTACCCTTACACAGAACTTTTATCAGCACCTCAAAAATTGTACAAGGAAGTAATTTGGCATTAATTTTAAAATGAAGTCTTTAAAGTCACACTCTTGGAGATACTTATGGGATTAGATATATGGTAAAGATAATAGATGATTAAAAAGAAAGATGAGGAAAACAATATGTAGATGGAAGTGAAAATTAATGAAGGAGAGAAGAGAATGACAAGAAAGAAAAGTGAGTGAAAGAGGTCAAGAAAATAAGAAATGAGAAAAGAGTAGACGAAAAAGAAAGAGTGGTAAAAAAAGAGAGAGTAAGAAAAAGAAAGATAGGTAAAAAAAGAGAGAGTAAGAAAAAGAAAGATAGGTAAAAAAAGAGAGAGTAAGAAAAAGAAAGAGTGGTAAAAAAAGAGAGAGTAAGAAAAAGAAAGAGTGGTAAAAAAAGAGAGTAAAAAAAAAAGATGGGTAAAAAAAAGAGAAGAAAAAAAGATAGGTAAAAAGAGAGTAAGAAAAAGAAAGAGTGGTAAAAAAAGAGAGAGTAAGAAAAAGAAAGATTGGTAAAAAAAGAGAGAGTAAGAAAAAGAAAGATTGGTAAAAAAAGAGAGAGTAAGAAAAAGAAAGATTGGTAAAAAAGAGAGTAAGAAAAAGAAAGATTGTTAAAAAAAGAGAGAGTAAGAAAAAAAAAGATAGGTAAAAAAAGAGAGTAAGAAAAAAGAAAGATAGGTAAAAAAAGAAGTAAAGAAAAAAGAAAAAAAAGATTGGTAAAAAAAAGAGAGAGGTAAAAAAAGAAAAGAAGAAAAAAGAAAGATTGGTAAAAAAAGAAGTAAGAAAAGAAATATTGGTAAAAAAAGAGAGTAAGAAAAAAAAAAGGGTAAAAAAAGAGAAAGAAAAAGAAAGATTAAAAAAAGAGAGTAAGAAAAAAGAAAGATTGGTAAAAAAAGAGAGTAAAAAAAAAAAGATTGGTAAAAAAAGAGAGTAAGAAAAAGAAAGATTGGTAAAAATAGAGAGAGTAAGAAAAAGAAAGAGTGGTAAAAAAAGAGAGAGTAAGAAAAAGAAAGATTGGTAAAAAAGAGAGAGTAAGAAAAAGAAAGAGTGGTAAAAAAAGAGAGAGTAAGAAAAAGAAAGATTGGTAAAAAAAGAGAGAGTAAGAAAAAGAAAAGGTAAAAAAAAGAGAGTAAGAAAAAAAGAAAAGTGGTAAAAAAGAGAGAGTAAGAAAAAAGAAAGAGTGGTAAAAAAAAGAGAGAAAAAAAGAAAAAGAAAAAAAGAGAGTTAAAAAAAGAGATTGTTAAAAAAAGAAAAAGAAAAAAGAAAGATAGGTAAAAAAAGAGAGAGTAAGAAAAGGAAATGTAAAAGAGTGAGAGTAAGAAACAAAGGAGAAAAGAAATAGAGAAGAGATAAAGGAATAGTAAGAAGTAAAAGAACCAACAAATGAAAAAATGAAAGAGAAAAGGTGTGAAGGAAAGAGTGGAAAAATAGGAGAAAGAAAAGTTTATTTACTGTAATGCAGTAAAAACAGTAAATCACTATCACTTGACTTAAAATATTTTTGCCCTTCCTTGCCTTTAAAGGTGTGCCCTTTG